CCCCTTTAAATTTTACTGCACCTCTAATTCCCTTAACAAGGATCACTCCCCTCCCAACAAGCCTCCCCACCACCTTGTGTTGTGGATGTCTGTAAGTATTTGTGGGATACTAAAATACTAACATAGACCCTGGCTTCAGTGTGTCAAGGAACTCCTCCTGCCCAAATGGTAGTAATGTAACAAGAATTCTTTGTCCTTATCTGGTGACACTGTTACCTGTCAAAATTGTAGTGGCACTAATGAGATGTATGCTTGTTCCAAACACCATGATTTCCAAGCTAGTGATTGCACCATAATCAGGCAATATGTCTTTGGATCCTACTGCACTATTGTGCACAGCCAGGCTTGTGATTATACCAGACTCAGATTGCTAGGAGTAATTAATAATTACATACAAAACCTCACCTGCAAGCCCTGCCTTAGGAGTCTTTATAGGACAAGCACTCAGGACGTCCCTGGGAATCTTTCAGCTGATCCTAATCTAAATCTCTCCATCTTCACTACAACTACAATGAAGCTACTCTGCCTCCCCATTGGGTTACCTATTCATTGGAGTAACTCCCAATGCCACTAAACTAAAAGCCTTTGGACTCCAATGCTTACATCCCTACAAAACTAGGGACTGATGGGTCATTGGACAATTATTTCCTAATGATAAACAGGTTATCTTCTGGAATACCTCCATCCTTCAAACTATGGAGTTCTCCCAACAAACTGGGACTTCTATTCACAGAAATCATTGGGAACCTGTAACCTTAATGGTTTTAGGAATTATGGCCCTTGTAGCCAGCCTGGCAGGATTGACCTATGGTATAGTGGCCAATACCATGACTGCCACCAATTAAACCCATATGGTGGCACATGTGGCAATGGAAACTGGGTTCAACTTTAAGGATACACAGAAATCTCTTAACTTCCTAGCTGAGATGGTCTTGGACCACCACCTAGCCCTTGACTTCCTATTAGATGAGCAAGGCAGAGTCTATGCCCTAGCCAAGATTTCTTGCTGCACTTACATAAATACCTCAGGAGTAGTGGAGGAACACACCAAAAAATTTTAGAACATGCAAAGTGGCTCAAAGAATAGTCCCTGGACTCTTAGGTGACTAGCCAAGTATAGACCCAGATCCTGTCTTGGTTACCCTCTATAATTTGGTTCCTTCTCTTTTTGGGTCCCATAGTTACCATATTGTTATTACTCATCTTTGAGCCCTGTCTCTTTAACCTGCTAGTAAAATTTCTTCTCATTTAGAATCCATTAGACTCCAAAATGATATACATGCACAGCCCCAATTCCACTGAAGCCATCTGGATCAGCCTAAATCCTCCAAGGAGGAACCATGGGTGGTCGATTAACTCTGCACCTCCATATGGCAGGAGACATTCAAAGCAGTCGTCACCCCTGATCGCTAATGGAAGTTAGGGTGCCATCCAAGAGAGGGGAATGAGGGACAGATAATAAACAGTCAGGGAAAGATGGTGGATTCCATGTGGCTGATGGATTCCACATGATGCTGGTGACACAGAGGCTTCTTCATCCCAGCATGCCCTGGGATGGGAGACCCTTGCACTTCCACACTTGGGCACTGCTCACAGGCGGGGTATCCAATCAGGGACAGGGAAAGACCACATGGACAGAGGATGACAGAAGCCTGGGCAAATTGAAATGGAAGGTATATCCCACACCACTTAGGGAGGGGAAAGGGAGGGTCTTAAAAGAGAAATCCTGGAGGATGTCAGTGGACCACTGATTTCTGGATCCCTTTGTCTTTGGAGAAGTTCTTTGTTTCACTTTCACTTTCAGTTTCCCCCAATAAATCTTAGCTAATTTCTCTCACAATTTTCCTGCCTCTTAATTCTTTATCCAGCATAGAAAAAGAGCTTGTACCCCTAGACAGTAACAAAATTGTTTTTTGTAGATTATGAATTTACAGAATAAATCTATACAAAAGCAAGATTAGTAGCTTTTGTTAGTGACCCATGCTTCCCCTCTTCTGGATCCTAGGGTCCTGTGCAGAAAATGCTATATTTTCTCTTTCCTAGTTGTCTTTTGACAAACTGTAGATTTAGAAGTAGGCAAAAGGGCCAGAAAGGAGAAAACAAGAAGCTTTAAGGAAGATGGAAAAGAAGCAGGTAATTGAAGATAGCAAAGTCTAGTAAAAGAGGAAGTGTTCTTGAACATATAATTCAACAGATGTTTATGCCCCTTTGATCCTGCTTGTAGAAAGTGATGGGGCACCACAAATTGTGAGGTAATAAATAAAGCAAGTCACTTGAAATACAGTGCTTGGTCACATCCAGGCTACTATCTCTGTGTCCATAGCCTCCCTCTAACTTCATTCCAAGCTTCAGTTGTAATTACACTGCACTTTCTAACCTGTAAAATACTTTCCCTTATGTCAGATCAAAAATGCTTTCAATTGCAAGCAACAATATCCAAACCAAGAAGGAAACATTTTGGCTTACAACCCAGAGTCCCAGAGGGAGATGAGTTTAGGGTTGCCTGAATCCAGTCCCTCAGGCCTCTTCCCTCCAGTTCTTTGCACTGCAACTTTCCACCCTCCATGTGTGAATTTCCTCCTCAGGCTTGTAGCAAGTTCTGGATTTATATCCACACATAGTGATATCCAGAAAGAAAGGTCTCAGGAGTCTTGAGCAAAGCTTGTCTTGTGTCTGTTTGGACTGAATGAAACCATAGCCATTCTACACAAGACTTTGAGAGAGAAGGTAGGCTTAGTTTTACATAAAGCCAGCCATCCCCTGGAGCAGTCCTGGACTCAGCATTCTGTAACACATGGGTGTGAGGGACAGGTGGGTCCCAGAGTCTAATTCAGGTTTATAGCAGCCAGTAAGGGCCATTACACACTTTTCCACAATCACAAGGATGAAAGGGCAGGTTCCCTCATTTTATAGATAACAGAGTCTCAAAAGGTCCTAAACCCTACTTCTCATCTTAGTGTCTCACTACTCCTAGACCAAAATAAATATCTAACCATTGAGTTTATAAATAATTAGGTCCAAGAAACTTAAATACTATATCCTACAACTTATTAGCTGTTTGAAAAACATAATATCCATAAATTAAAAGAAAACATGATATTTTAATTTTTGCCCATTGTTAATCACAATTACTTACTAATGGGATGCAGATAGTTGTTGGACACTGGAATCACGTTTTATACTACATCCTGCATTTTCTGTGCCATGTTGATTTTCCTAAATTTCTTGCTTTTTATCAAGTGGATAAACCTAGCTCACAAAAAGTGAAATCATTGAGGCCAGGCATGGTGGTACATGCCTATAATCACAGCTACTTGGGAGACCGATAGGGAGGATCACAGTTTAAGGCCTGCCTGGGCAAAAGTTAGAAAGACCCCCATCTCAACAAACAAGCTGGACATGGTGGTTCATGTCTGTTATTTTAGCTATGCGAGAGGCATAGGTAAGAGGATCTCAGTTCAAGGTTGGCTTTAGCAAAACCATGAGACACGAGACCCAATCTGAAAAAATAACTAAAGCCAAAAGGGCTGGGGATATTGCTCAAGTGGTAGAATGCTTTCCTAGCAAGCTCAAGGCCCTGCGTTCAAACCCCAAAACAAAACCTTGAAAACATTGAAACTATTATAGTGCAATCTTAGGTTAAAAATGTGAGCTACCTCACTAGTAGCTCACGTGCTGTCTGGCAGAGGTTGTGTTTCACAGTGTTTACCTAGTCCAAATTTGCAAATATGCTGAGATACACCTACAAGTTCACGGTAACCCCTGGGTGCTTAGGCACACATGTTTGAGAGGCATCAAATTAAGTTATTTGCCCAGGGAAATGCTGGTGGAAAGAGACATAATGGGAAGTTTTAACATTTTGTTTCCAAGTTTTGCTCTTGAACTATTTGAAGTCCTTCCCTTAAAATAATTTTTCCTCTGCCAAAAATTTTCAAGGAAAATATGACCCTCTCAACAGAGAAAACTTAACGTAAAGAATTATACTGGTGATGGAGGAGCAGAAATGGGCAATCCAGAGCAGAACAGAAAGTCAGAATCACTCCTGTGGTTGCGGGAAGAATAGGGAGTGGGTTGCTGGGACCCAGAAGTCAAGGTTGCCTGCTGGATGGTGAATCCACAGTGGAGATGCATCCATTGCCAAAGACACCTCAGGCTGAAGAAAACAGGAAAATACCCTGATTTCTTCCTTTCTATCCCAGGCTTCTCATCAATGCCTTCCATTAGCTAAACCTACCCAGAAGCTAGAGAGCAAGGGAAACTGGGAAATGTAGTCCCATAAGATAACGAGCACAGGAAGAAATAGATCTAAGTAAACAAGGCAGGCAACTGGCATAACAAAGAGTAGTGTATATGCTTTACTCCTTCAATAATTCCTTTAGCAATTATTTCTAGAGGATCTGTGAGGTGCCAGATAATCATGCCAGATGTTGAGGATACTATAGTGAGCAAAATAGACCTGATCTCTGCACTTAAGAAGATCAAGACTAACAAAGGATATGGAACAAGCACAGAATTATCTAATTACAAAATTCATTAAGTGCAATAAGGGAAAATATGAATACGGTATGGGACTGCTAATGAAGGAAGGATGGTCGGCTAACCATTCTGAATCTAGTTATTTGGCTCCTGTCTGTGTGTGTAGAAAATTTGTAGTCAGGAAAATAAAATAGCTAGAGCTATAAAAATAAGTTTATTTTTATAAATATGACTTATTTATATTTTGATTTAATTCATGTGTAATAAGACTATTATTTCAAAGCTGTGTGTGTGATCATGTGCAACTGTATGTATGTGTGTGTGAGAGAGAGAGAAACTGTAAAGGAAGAGTCCTTTATTAAAACTTTCAGTCTAAAGAGTCAGAGGCTCACAGCAGCTAATCTCTGTCATGCTTTGCAGTAACAACACCCCCTTCCCTCTCATCATAACTTGTGATCTTAGAAGCATGAAAGAATTTCAGTCCCTCCCCCAGCCTGACCATCTCTGCTGGTTGCTCGGCCAGGCTTCATGTCAAATCCAGTTTGGAGTACAAACCAGAGGACCACGCAGAAAGGCTCCTGACCCCATGGCCATGGGTGGCAATGGTGGGCAGGCTGGCGCCCATACCTATCAATCCTTAGCTGAAGATTGTCCCTTTGGCTCTGTGGAGCCACCCAAAAGACCCACAGGGAGACTCGTCATGCATAGCATAGCCATGTTCGGCCGAGAGTTTTGCTATGCAGTGGAGGCATCTTATGTGACCCCGGTCCTGCTCAGTGTGGGCCTACCCAAGAGCCTGTACAGCATGGTTTGGCTCCTCAGCCCTGTGCTGGGGTTCCTGCTGCAACCCGTGGTAGGATCAGCCAGTGACTACTGCCAGTCCAGGTGGGGCCGCCGGAGACCCTACATCCTCACTCTGAGCATCATGATGCTCGTGGGGATGGCCCTGTACCTCAATGGAGATGCTGTTGTATCAGGTAAGCAGACTGCACAAGTCCTGTGTGCAACTCTGTAGGAGGAGAATGGGAAGTTCTTTGATATTTAATAGAAACTGGTTAACTGCTGTATTCTCCGAGGTTGCAATGATTTTCCAACATTTGTGTTTGAGGAACCTTTATGTCTAGAAATATCAATATGCATTGTATTTTATTGTGGTGAGGGTTTTAAAGTAGGATTGGGTTTTTATCTATTTTATCAAATTCAATATGTTTACATATTTATAGTCAAGAGTTTTTTGGAGCCCATCATGCCCATAGAGTACTTGTCAAATTGACCAGCTCCCAAATGGATCCATAAACACTTGAAATAAGCCACCTGTTGTATCCAGATAAGAGTAAATTCTGCTCATGGCTTTATGTAGAGCTTTTAATGGGAACAGGACATCAGCCTGTCAACTCAAGGGGACATTTTTGCATTGCAAATTCTGGAAAACAACAAACTTGATAGCCATTAATCAGCTATCAATTAATCAGTACTTAGTACATTGCAAAAAGGATCATTAAACATAAAAAGGGCACTTATTTTTAGACATTAACTCTCAGACCAGCAAAATAGATGATTATGAAGCAGAATAATCAGGTACCATGTGTATATATTTAAGAGATGGCAGAAATGCTTAACTGTGGGATATTTCTGGAAGAATTAACCAAAAACTAATAAGAGTAGTTAGTTACGTCTAAGGACTAGAAGTACGAAAGGGAAGGGTAGGCTTATTTTTCACTTATTTTATACTGAAATTTTTAAATATGTATGTATGTTACATGATATTCTTAGGTTAAAAAGACAGACTATAAGCAAGGAAAACAGCAATGTATAATCCATAGCAGAATGGGCAAACAAATGGCAGCATATACACAGAGTGAATATTAGTTGACTGTTGAAAGTTTGTGAGGTAGTTTATCCTTACCTGAAATGAAAACCCATGAGGAAAGTTGGTCGAGGACTGGTGTATATGTGCTACACCATTTCCTATGCCAGTACCACTCGAAAGTGTAGCCATCTGACCTGCTGCATCAGCATCACTGGGGGCTACTGAATCAGAATCTTGGGACATGGAACCAGGTTAAGCATGCTAGAGTTTGAAAGGCACTGTGTTTGGACACTGCTGCACAGCTGGATATGTACATTTAGAAGTGCCTAAGGGGTGTCATTCACCACTGGGGCTGGGATTTGAAGCATTTTCTTCAGCTTGTTCTATAATTGTCAGAATTGTTTACAATAAAGTTTTCATTTAAAAAGATGTAATTCACATCCCGGAAAAATTCATCTAAGAGCATATAATCCAGTGCTTTTTAGTATAGTCACAATGTTGGGCAACTATCACCACTCTGAAATTCCAGAATATTTTTGTCTGTCCCAGAAGAAATCCATTTCCCACTTCCCATTTCCTCCTATGCACCAGCCCTGGGCAACCACTAATTTACTTTCCTTCTATGTTGTCTTTCTTGGACATTTACTTGCACAATTTTTAAAACCTATAAAAAATGAAGCATTTTAATATAAAAAACAAAGCCAAATGAAAGCAAGGGGGATGACTTGATGAGAGAAAGTCCAGGCAAAATGAAAAATGTGGATCACTCTAACTATGACTCAGAAAATCAATGTTTCTCTTTTAGCTTTGATTGCTAACCCAAGGATGAAGCTGGTTTGGGCCATAAGCATCACCATGATAGGTGTGGTTCTCTTTGATTTTGCTGCTGACTTTGTTGATGGGCCCATCAAGGCTTACTTATTTGATGTCTGCTCCCATCAGGACAAGGAGAAGGGTCTCCACTACCATGCCCTCTTCACAGGTAGGGACTATTTCAGAAAGCCTCTCCTACAGCTCTCCAGACAGGGGGGCGTTTCCATGGAAGCCTCCAGCATCTCTGCACAGGAAGCGTTTTAATGAATGGATCAGTTGATGGGATGATCCCATCACGCGGGTTCTGTGTCTCATTTCTCTAAACAAAGTCAGCATGTGACTGGGGCTTCAGAGTATTTGGAAAGGAAGTTTATGTAAGAGCTTTCTTTAGAACTCTTTGCAGAGACATTAAAATTGAAATGAAAAGAAGTCTTATGCACTTTTCTTTTGTCTTAAAGCAGTGGATCTCAGACTTCAGTAATGTACCATCAGCCTTTGCAGAAAATGCAGGTTTCTGCGCCCTTCCTTCAGTTATGCTGATTCAGCCGGTCTGGGGTAGGGCCTGGAAACTTGCATTTCACTTAGCTTACTAAATATTATTAGACCCCAGCTGATCTTGTGGCACGTGTTCTAAGGACCATATTTCAAACCAAAAATAGAAGCAAACCAAGCATATAAAAACCTCACGTAGTTCAGATTTCTTAATTATATAAGAAATCAACCTGCTAGAATGAAAAAGCCCAATGTTGGGAAGACAGCAGGGGCTCTACATTTAATGGGGCTATTGTCAGCCTTCAGTTACTTTTGGGTCATTTAGAGCAATGATACTTAGCCTACCAGTTAGTACTGTGCTGACTTGGAGGTGAAATATTAGGTGACAGCAGGCTTCTGGCTCAGGAGCATTTTTTGTACTTGTTTAGGATGAAAGATTCTAGCATCCCACTTCATCTGATTGTCTTCATAACCTAGCCAATGTAGTCATTTTATGTTCCAATGCATTCTGTCTCCTTTATAGGAGTGAGGCCATTCTCCAGGTTCAAGAGTAGTGCCTGCATGTGGAAGCCATTGGGTCTATCTTTGTCATTTGGGAAAACATTTGAATGGTGAAAACATGAATGCCACTATCCCAGGATAGCAAGCAGTTCTTCTCCCTTTTGGGGAAGGCAGAGGAGCAGAAGTCCTGTCCTGTTTGTCATGGACCCAGATCTCTATCTGTCCTAGAACAGAGTCTGAGATCATTTCCCTGCCTCATCTGTGCTCCTGATGCTCTAGCCACCTCATTCCCTTACCTGGGCTTCCATTCCTTCCAAATTTTCCGCATTTTTTACCTGTGTCTCCTCACTTATGTCTTCCACCTTTGTGTGCTCCAGTTCCTGGAGATGCCCTGCCCATGTCTGTCTCAGGGCATCATGAGTTCTCCCCATGCCAGTGACACTTTTCCATACAGTCCCATGGTTCATGCCACCCTTCCACTCAGGTTCCTCATCAAATATCTCATCGGTGAGGTCTTTCTAGGCTACCGTACCTTTTATCTTGTTTGATTTTTCTTCCTAGTACTTACCACTATCAGGCCAGACTTTTGAACCTGATATACTGAGAGTAGTTTATTGTTCAAAAAAATATTGGGCAGTGTGGCCACCACATCTCAACTTACAGCAGTATTAAGGCTGACCAAAAATTTCTATTTTCTTGCTTCTGAATATTAGAATGTAGAGCTTTACATGTTGAACACTTTTCCAAGGCCTACACATGGCAGTATTTCCATAAGTTTTAAGACAACATATCCATTTTGATATTTTCCATTGACATCAGCATATGTTGTGGTGTGAGAAAACACAGGTGATTTTGATATTACTTTGGTTTGCACTCTCACTACATGTTGTCTAAGTTTTTGTACTTAACTATTTTTTTGGTCTGTAATTTCTTCCTGCACTAATTGAACCAACTGACAGCTTCTTCTGGATTCATAATTCTTAAAAGCTACTTATAACCAGATACTCTCTGGTTTATTGACCTCTCTCTTTGCCTCATAGAGAAAACAAATTCCTAGATAGGATTCAAAGCGCCTTCAAGTTGTTTTCATCCTACTCTCCAAGCCCGTTACTCACTCCACATTCTCTGTGTTCTAAATGCTTTCCCAACATGCTACCAGGGAAGAGGCCAGGTTTATTTTATTCACTGTATCCTTTACTCTTCTACCATCACTAGCCACATAGTAGGTGTTCAAACTAAATATTTGTGGAACACAAGAAGCAGCCTGCTCTTTCTTCTCCAGGTTCTTGGTCTTTGCTCACTCAGAAAGTCCTTTTCTCCTTTTCTTCTTGTGGAAATCAAAGCTTCTCTGAAACTTTTACCCATTTCCTACAGAGAAGGTCCTTCAGTGTCTTCTCTATTGCTAAAAGTAATTGCAACAAAATCATGGGAGACTTATCTAATATGGCCTTAGATTGGATCCACAAAATAATCAAAGCACAAATTTATCAAATGGATGGGCATAAAGGTCTCTGTGAAGCAGATGAATCTAGCAGAAAGGAACAGGCTGTGGTTCACCACACACATATCTTGAACTTGCACCCCATGGGGGATTGTATGGTCAGTCTTGGCTGTCATGCTAGAGAGCTGCTGACTGGCTCGCTTAAACTGCAGACCTTCATTTTTCACAATTCTGGAGGATGGAAATCCAAGATCAAAGTGTTGGCAGGGTTGGTCTTTGGTGAAGTCTCTCTTCCTGGCTTGCAGATGGCCACCTTCTTCACTGTCTTTGTTATGGATTCAGGTCAGTTCAGGGGCCACAGTGTTCTTGGTCTCATTGGGGAAAGAATTCAAGGAAGACACAGAGGAGATTTAAGCAGGAGTAGGTTTATTAGTGCAAAGCAAAGCAAAAGTGCACCTTCAGATGGGAGGGTGGGCAGGTTCAAGGAAGAGAACTGTGCTGAGGGTCCTAAGACCTCAAACTTTTATTGGGGGTCTATGGACATAGGGTTGTCATCATTCCTAGAAACCTGGTTTATGTGTCATTAATTCTTTCCACAGGACAGGAAGGGGAATTTTTGACCTTGAGTGGTTAGATCAGGGCTTTTCATTTTCCATGGACTCTGGGAGCTTCAGACTGGTAAAACCCTGCTATGTATCTCGAGTCACTCAACATCAGCAGGCCAGGCTGTAATTTTTTTTTATCAGCCAAGACATTATTCTCAGCCATCAAGTTTCCTAACTCCCTGCATTATGTGGCCTTTCCTCTGTGCATGTGTATATACCCCTGCCCCCTCCCCCATGTGTCTTCTTATAAGAACATCAATCCTATTAGATCAGGGGGATTTGAATATCAACACATGAATTTGGGGGAGGGGTACAATTTGATCCCATACAGGCCCCTTTAAATTTTGCTCTCATTGGCCTTGAATCCAGCTTCTGAGGCTGGGGATAGTTGGAACATGAAGAAATCGTACTCATTTTTCTCCTCTTCCTTACTCTTCAATTTCTCTCCTTTTCCCTCTTGGCATACTAGAGAAATTCTTGAATTTTTAAATAAATAGATAATCACAAAAGGTCATTCTATGTTCATAGAACAGCCAAAGATCTTAAAAACTGGGTCCCATTCTAGCATTATACTAGAATGCATAATGCATAATGCTCTTTCTAAGAAGCCCTGAAATCCCCTCAACCCTGGTCCTAGGCAGGAGAGGCAATTGGTGGCAAGGGGAAATTTGGCCAGTGAGGAGAAACCACTTCAGCACCTCCCAGTTTAAATAAATGGTCTAGTACCAAAGGACTGTTTTCATGTAATCTCTTTCTTGGCTTTTGTCACTTTCTTTCTTTCTTATTTATTTACTTTTATTGCCATGTATTAAAGTGCAAAAAGCAGGGGGTTTCATCATGTCATTTCCATACATGCATGTAATGTACTTTGGTAATATTCACCCCCTACATTATTCTTTCTTATCTCCCCTTTCCCTCTCTCCCTTCCCTTCCACCTCCATAGTAGTCCCCTTGGTGTTTTGGTTTATTTCCCCCTAGCTTCCACAAATTAGGGAAACATGAAATTCTTATCTTTGTGGAACTGGTTGATTTCACTTAACATGATGATCTCCAGTTCCATTCATTTTCCAGCAAATGACACAATCTCGTGCTTCTCAATGATGGAGTAAAACTCTCCTGTGTATATAAACTCTTTATGTACACATTTTCCATTCATCCATTCTTTATCCATTCATCCATTAATAGGCACCTAGGCTGGTCCCATAATTTGGCTATTGCGAATGGTGTTATGATGAACAAGGATATACAGTTATCTCTACAGTAAGCTGACTTGAGTCCTCTGAATATTTACCCAGAGGTTTGGCCTTTGTCGTTTTCTACCTTCTATGTTAATGTTTCTAATACCCTTGTTGTTCAAAACTTTCGAGAAGGAGCCATCCAGAGGAAATATACAGGCAACTGAGTGAGAGCATAAGTCACGTATGAATGAGAGACAATCAACATCATGTGACATTAGTGATCTAGTTGGGGGATTTCCTAAGACCTTACTCATGCTCCTGACCCTTCTCCATCATCCCCTGGCATATGCTCAAGGAATGGATGTCTTAGAAAGGGTTGTAAGTAAGAAAAGCCTGTATCACAAGTGGCTTAAACACATAGGCTTATCTTTCCTCAAAAATTAAGTCTGAGACTAGGTGTCTGCTGGTTTTTAGACTGCAGAGTCAACAATTTAATGTTTCCTGGGTTGTTTCATCAATATATTGCTTCAGGGTACATGATGTTTGCCATGCATGCATCATATCATGCTTGTTTCAAGACAGGAGAGAGGGAGAGGGAGGAAGGGGAAAGAACCTCTATCATTTCTTTAAGTGATAAGCCGCCCCCTCGCCATTTCTACTTGTTTCTCATTAGGCAGAATTAGGTCATGTGAATATCCAATGCTTTACAGAGGTTGGGGATGGAATCTTTTCCTAGAGATAGTGGTGGGGATGGGGAGATATGCTTCCCTGAACCAAATTGAGCTTCCATTAGTGAGGAGGAAGGGGGTAATTATTAGTGAATAGTCAAAAGCCTACAGCTATCATATAAAGCACAAAAATAATTGGTATTGGCCTAATAAGAGCAATTAAATATCAAGACTATTATAAGAAAATGATAGCCAGAACTTTCAAATCCTGTATATTAGTAAAT